AGCAAACTATATCTATGTATTTCAGAAATCTATATTCTATGTGACAAGGCCTATCGCGAATTATTACACTGTTAAACGAGTTTAAAAGGGTGTTAAAATAAAAGAGTGTATAGCATTGTTACGAATATTACTTAAGAGGTCACTTACCTCGAGATTGGTTCGGTCTGCTTTGGTTATTTCAGCAATTTTCCGCTAGCTGCGCGGCAACAAGCATCGTTTGTTGTTATATTTTCGTTCTTATTTTAAACTCCTTTGATTTGATAGAAAAAAGATATTCACACATTCTTTATCATTAATTCTCACACTACTCCCAAATTTTAATAATTTATTAATATAATGCACACCTGAAAATATATTGCACAACAACGTGAGCACTCACACAATTAGTTATCTAATAAGTGACACGTAGAGGTTTTTTTCATCATTACTTATATATTAACATTAAGAAATAATTTATTTCAAGAGCGTTCATTATTTTTAATTATGTAATATAATATCTGTACCCCGGAGGTTGTGAACATCATGTCCAATTTTTAATTAAATAATTTAGCAACTAAGAAATAAATTTTAATACCTTAAAGTTATGGAAAATCAATTTACTGAACGAAAAAGTGACACGGTTTCCTTTACCTACGTGCTGCAGATTTGGAAATTAAGAAACAAATTATAACAGTTGGAAGTTATGGAATATTGATTATTCTGAAAAAATTTTTTTTAAAAAAGTACATGGTATTGTTTACCTCCGGAGTACAGATATATTCTTTTAAAAATTTGGAACTCAACAAGATCATATGTCGCAACCAAAATAATGCTTTTTGTTGATATTCCATGAAGAGTTTACCGTATAGGTGTGTATGCCCGCGTGTGTGTATTAATAAACAAACCTGGAAGTTTGAACATCTGACAGATTAAAATACTATTTATGAGTCGTTATTTCCAAAGTAGTCCCTAATCATCATTGACTACGCGAAATATCATTTTCCGAATTCCAATTGTAATATAAAAATCAATATATTTTTTAAAAAATAAAACAAGAAACTCATTATTTTTATCACATATTTTCGAAAATTAGTGACTATAACAGTAATAATTTTAAAACGTTGAAACTTAAGTAAATAGGGTCACTTTTGGAAAGGATTTTCGAACAAAAAAAGGTTGATTTGGGTTCGTTTAGGGGAGAAAAAAATGGTGTATGATTCAGGTGGTGTATGATATGTATTGGTGTATGATATTATAAAATCAACCTTCAAAAATTAATTAATAAATTAATAAAAAATTCTTCTTTTTTTTTCGTTACAATAATGGTGCAATGAAATAAATTTCTTTTCAAAAGAGAGTTTTCATTTTAATAAAACGGTTGAAAAATCTTTTGATGAATATTTTATTTTTATTTTTTCAAAATACTTAAGAAATGCAAGTTTTATTAACTTTGTTGAAACAAAAAGGGCAGTTTTGGAAATAAATTTATTTTCACATCACTTTTTTATTATTTAGGTTCGTGTTTGAAAAGAAAAAAAAAAAATTATTCCATCATCGAATTGATTTTTTTAAATATATTTATATACTTATCTCGATTTCAATGAAAATCGATTAGGCTTCACTTTAGAAAAAAAGTGATTCATATAACAGTCATGTTTGGTATTTGTTTTCTTTAATTATTTCTGTATAATTAATTAAAGCTCATGAGAAATGTACAGCAATTATATATTATTGACATATCCTTATGGGCCATATAATTATTAAAAAGTAATTTTACTGATTTATTAAACGAGTGGAAATATCCGTACGAATTAAATGTAAAAATATTACACAACACTTAGCATATGAGGAACATCAGAACAAAATATATTCAGACCAGTTCCATATTCATTCACGAATATTTATTTTATCTGGACAAAAACATGCACGAAATTATTTTTACACTGAACAACAAACTTCAAAGTTTTACTACACATAGTCAACGATAAGAAGCAATATGATCCGAAACATGTTTAGGACATGGATGACGTACGTACGAAAAATAATTTACGATTTCGGTAAAAAATAATTTTTTAATAAAATACTGAAAATTAATTTCGATCTAGAGCTCATACGATATTTACAGTCGTCAAAAAAGCTCTCTTTGTTTTTTTAATCATCTGAGGCTCATTTTATTGCCACTTCACTGATATTAAAATATTTTAATTCACATTTCAGTAAGAAATGAGGGAGCAATGGAATGGGTAATAATATAATTAATTGAATTTTTATTTTGAAAAAAATGTTTCCTTAGAATAAGATTTTACTTGAATTGATCGCAGTGATTCTATTCAGTGCCGGTCTTAGGGTGGCGCAACCAGGGCAATTGCCTCGGGGCGCCGACCTGAATGGACGCTCGTCGATCTTCCTTCACTTGTTAGAAATTAAAAAAAAAAATACAAAGCGTATAAAAATAATTCATTTTAACCTCTGAATAAAGCAACTGTATTAGAGAAATATTGGACGAAATAAAATTAAATTACAACATAATATAAAATAACTTTAGAAATAAATTTAATTTATTTATTATCGAGAACGACGTCATTGCCTGTGGACGCCAAATGTCTAAGGCCGGCACTGGTTCTATTTTATTCTTGCATTGTTTAAGTTTTTTTTTTCGACTGTTTTCCAGTCTGTTTGTTTTTTTTTATACGAAATTAGAATTTTCTTGAGTAAAGGATCAAGCCATCGATTTTTCAAGCAATATTTTCCCACTGGAGTTAATATTTCGCAGACATTGAAACAGTGAGAGCATTTATGATGCACAAAAACACACACTCACACATGTATAAAAGTTTTTAGTGGTCGTGTAATATTTTATTTTACATATTCGAAGCGGGACGGACCTCAACGAAGACAACACACATCTTATTCCCAGAATTATTTCTCCCTTATTATGATTACCAATTCAAAAGAAGAAGAATTATAATTATTTAATAATATAAAGTGATAAAAAGTCGCGATGTATAATACAGATTTTTATAGAAATAAAAGTTTGTCCAAATTGTTGTTTAGTTCCATTTATATTACGTTGATAAGAAATAATATAATAGGAACTATAGAATACATGTAAGTTACATATATCCAATTTGAGCAACATGTAGTACAATTAAATGAACAGTTATGTAATTTGTAAACTGGAATTGGTCAGCCGTTAGGCTAACAAGGGGCACTTCCCCTAGTACTCGTACATATATTCATTCGTTAGAAAATCAGAGAATTAATGTTTTTTTTTTTTTTTTTTTTGCTTTTTTTTAGTAAGACTCGTTTTTAATTGAATAAAGAGCGAATTATAGATTTGACAAAATTTCCTTTAAATGCCAGGAAATTTTGTATTTTTATTAGCTACTACTAATTTGAGTTCTACCAATGGGTAGTTTCTCTTCATGTTGTACATGCCATGTTATCAATTTCACATTTACTTATTGTATTCTCTATGTAATACACTTGTAAATTCCATTGAAATAATAAAAAATTATTAGCTACTAGAGAATTATTATTTTTAATCTATAAAACTATTTTGTAGGCAATTTTTTGATGTAGCTGTGGCCTTGGAGTAGCCTTTACTTACGAAGCAAATAGTTTATGTAATAGCAATTAATAGTAAAGCAAGCTTTACCAATAGTGAAGAGACTTTCTTGATAAAAATATATAGATATATACGATTAAATATGTCACGGTTTCCTAATATGGTTTAAACATAAAGTCTATTAGTGAGAATTATATTATATATATATATATATATATATATATATATATATATATATATATATATATATATATATATATCAAATATTTTATATCTAATATAAGAATATATCAGTTATAGTTAAAGTACTTCGTCCCTGAATAAGGTTGTTTTTCTATTTCTATTGATTGAAACGAGATAGAATATTAAACAGAAATAGATATATAATTTTATAAATTAGGAATAGAAAAAAAAACGTCCTTCAAGTATAACAGATATATTCTTATATTAGATGTAAGATATTAAATATACATCTTTCACCCCAATATATTCTATTTTATGTATCAGCGATATAAGTAAAAATATTTAATTATAAATATATATTTATATATATATATATATATATATATATATATATATATATATATATATATATATATATTTATTAAATAAAAACGAATTTACGCATAAAACTAAAAACATCTTAAGTAACTTCAAAATTATAAATCCATTACAGAGGTCATAAAAACCAAGATAAGCGTTAGTTTGTGTAATTTATGAGGGGCCCTGAATGTTTTAATGTTATCATTCTAAATCCTTAAAAACTTAAAAGCTTTTAGGTGGGCTCGTGTGATAAGGTAGTGTTTTGCTAACATTTACTCTCTTAAATTCTGACTTCTGTTTCAGAATGAATGAGATATAATGAATGAACCTCTAATATTAATCAATTAAAAAGCTTTTTACTTAATTATTTTTGATGAAGTCATTTTTGAAGGCTTAGTTAGAACAAATCAGCTCAGTCGGCCATTTTTTTACTTTCAATCTGAAAAAAAATTGTATACGCCGTTATTGGATAAACGTGAAAGAGATGTGATCTGCAAGTTTTATAAATATTTGTTGTTGCAATAATCAAAAATGTAGATAACAGTCAATTTTTCTTCATGGACACTTTTGATATCTTAGAGCCATCAGAGAATTGACGTTTATAAATAATTAATCGTAACTTATCTACTTATCAATATTTATTTTAAAACATTTCTTGATCCGATTTGTGAAAACAAAATATTACAAAATCTGTACAAATCAATCTCCCTTTCGAGATAAAATAAAATAAAAAATAACATTAAGATAAGGGTATCTGTTAACTCCTGGTTTTGATTCTCATTCTTTCACAAGCATAAGCCTCATGACTCTAGCCGTATTTTAGTAGGTTGATAATATATTGTAGTTGGATATTGCAATAGTTTGGTGACTGTTTTGTTGCTTACTGATGGATTCTACTTTCTGTTGTCAGCCTCAACGACCAGGGGCAGGACATGGAGGCTTCGCAGGTCGAACGGGGCAGGAAGGCATCAAGTAAGTTACCTTATTTTTTATCATAATATATTTAAATATTACAAAAATAAAAAATATATTTAATTTATCGCAAAAAGTCAATAAATACATTTTTGATGTTTCTAAACTTTTAAAAACATTTTATTGATTTTCGAACCAATTTATCGATAAATAAAAAATATGTCATGTGCACTAAAATTAAATATAGCATCATCAAGCACACATTTTTCTGATTTCAAAAATGTAAAATTCATCGATAGTGATTTAAGATTATGAAATGTCATATTATAGCTTTTTGCAATAAATCGAACATATATCTTCATTTTTATTTTTATAGATATAACTTGTTTGAGTGAAAAATATGTTTAAGAAATTAAGTTTTTACATATTAAGGTAAAAGCACATTTAGCTCACAATGAAATAATCGTCCAAGAAAAATGGGAAAAATAAGATTTCAGGAATTCCTAGACCTCTATTTCATAAATTTTTGGTCTCTATATTTTCTCCTTGAGGAAATGGAGTAGCTCAGTGGTAGGTCTGAGCTTCCAATCCTTAAGGCCCCAGGTTCTAATTCCGGCTTATGGCAAAAAAATTATTTATTCTGTTTCATTGGCTGTGAGGCGACCCTGGTGGGTAAGTAGACCCTCCTGGGGCACACCCAGCCTCCATAAAGTGGGTACCCTTTATTAAAATAATTGATTAAGGGGAAAATCTGGCGTTTGAGCGTGATCTTGGTCAAATCACCTTCTTGCACAACCTCAGACCAAGAAATAGTGCTTTTCCTAAATAGTGCTTTCCCTAAATAGTACTGAACTCAAGAACTCTTCATAGGCTGTAGTGGTACTGGGTTTTTTTTTTCTCCTCTTATGTATGTCCGGTTTTCTTTAGGTTTTCCAGAAACCATAACCGAAATAATAAGTGTCAAATTAGGAAAATACCTAACGGTTCATTTAGTGTCCCAGGAACGACCATCTATCAGTAAGGATACCATGCCTGCATTAGGTTTGACTTTTTCTCTTAGACTACTTTGATTTTTCTAGAAATATATTCTTGGAGTGTTTTTACATTATGTTTTATATTTTTTACCTTATCTTGATGAATGAATTGAAAATTTGTAGGATTTCCGCTACTGGAGCTTTATATCAAATATATAGATACACTGACAGGCAAAAAATTCCACCCACTTGAATTTTTCATGTTTTCATCTAAAAATATTTCTGCTTTGGATTGGTCTATTGTTTTTAATGAATAAATAGGTAATCTTTTTGTTTGTTTTCAATTAGGAATGTTAATATAGAGGACAATAACCTTCAATCCTTAATTCAATGAAATTATTCTAGATTCCAATGTTTACTTTCTATGGAATCAAAATGTTTATTCAGTATCATTAGTTCAGTGCCGTTTCTTGCAGCACATTTCTTAGTCTCCAGCTTTTAATTTTATCAATATTAAGTTTAAAAATGCCTCTTAGTGCTGAGAATGTTGCGCGTGGTGTGGCACTTATTGATGATGGACGTTCCATTAGATATGCAGCTAATGCCATCGAAGTTCCATATGAAACTTTACGAGACGCCGTCAGGCGTTTTCGGGAAACTGGTTCTTACAATAGAAGGCCCGGTTCTGGACGGCCTAGGGTAACAGAACCACGGGATGACTGGTTTTTGACTTTGAGTATTTTTCGAAACCGGCACCGTACCGTTGTTCAAGCGATTCATCAGATCGGAGAAGTTCGAGGTGTGCAAATTTCTGAACGTAACGCTCTGAGAAGATTAAATGAGTATGGATTAATGGCTTTTCGTCCTGTAAGAGGACAAGAGTTGACCAGAACTAGCAGAGTAACACGGCTGGCTTTTGCTCGAGAACACAGCCATTGGACTATGGACGAATGGAGTGCTGTACCTTTTACAGATGAGTCAAGATTCGCTCTTCGATCTCCAGATGGGCGTGAAAGGGTGTGGAGAAGAAGAAACGAAAGATATGCAGCCTGTAATTTTTCCCAGAACCAACCTTTCCGACGTGGTTCCTTAATGGTGTGGGCTGGGGTTTCAATAGAGCGCCGCACAGAATAGTTTGTTGTTCTTGGAGGGTCTTTGACGGCCATTCGCTATGTAGATGAGACTTCGGAACCTCATGTGTTGGCTATCCTCAACGAAATCGGCGATCGTTCTATTATAATGCACGCCCACATGTCGCCCGCATAGTTCAACGAATAATATTGAGGTTTTAGCCTGGCCAGCACGTTCTCCAGATTTTAACCCCATTGAGCATTTATGGGATAACCTCGGAAGACGAATAAGAGCGCGTGCAACACTTCCTGATACACTGCAGGACATTGAAAATGCTTTTCGGGAGGAATGGGCTATCCTCCAGCAAAGGGACATTTCCCGATTGGTGGAAAGTAAGCCGAGGCGTCTTCAAGAAGTAGTGATGATGTAATTAATTTCTTTTAGAATAATAATGGTTCGTTTTTCATTTTTTTTCTCTAATCTTTCTTACCCAATCACATTTTGATTATTAAAGGTAAAAAAGATTATAAAATTCCATAAATACTAAGTATTATCTACAAATACCATGTATTATATACAAATACAACTTTACAGAAATATTTTTAGATGAAAACATGGAAAAATCAAGTGGGTGGAATTTTTTGCCTGTCGGTGTATATATAAAAGTAGGATCATTCACCACTCACTAGTTACAAAGAAAATGTTAGAGATTTAGATAAAATATAAATCAAAAATAGGTTATACTTTTGCCCAAAACTGGTTCTTGATAGTGACCATTTATCGATAAATTTAAGTCAAGAAACGAACCGAAGATAGTTTTATAATAAATTAAAAGTAATTTTTGTTAATACGTATTTTAAAATCAATAATATAAAATTTCAACACTTTATTTCGGACAATTACACTCTTGTTCTCATCCCTGTCAGCCAGGAACATTCCATATCAAACATTGTCAATTATTGGTGCAAATTTACTCATTTATATAAATTATAATTCTTTTAAATTTAGATGAATGTTTCATGGATTTGAAATATATCTTGTTAAGATAAGAAATAGTTCTGTAAGATAAATACAAGAAAGATATAATAACATGAATATTTAAGTTTTTACTCATAAATGTTCCAAGGAATTTCCTTAAGCTTGTCAGCTACTTAATAATTTAAATTATTTCGCATAAAATAAGTAAAGTGAATACATGCTTCTCCGTTCAGAATTTTTCATGATATGCCGAAAGAAAATAATATATTTTTTATTGTTTTCTGTCTTAAGTCGAATGAAAGTCAGAAAAAAATCACGTATAATGAGTCGTAGGTTGTGTTAGATTAACGTCTAACCTGTGTGTTTTTTCACCAATTGTGTAAACACAATTGTTCATACATCCGAATTTCGCTCAAATTGATGAAAAAATGATCTAGTGCATTTGTATTACCTGAAGTATAGTTGAAAAAATTATATATATTTATAAATTTTAAAAAACATGAAAGCCGCAATTATAAAATAATAACAGGAACTGGAAATAATTTACGTTGAATCCAAGACTTTTATATTTCACAATAATGCAATATCAACTTCATCTCTATAAAATGTAATAAATAAATATTCAATTCAAACATACTTCGGGTGCCTCTTCCTCTTAAAAAAAACCGAAAGTTAGTCGAATTTGGAAGCAAACAACTGAACATGATTTTTTTTACTAGTATTTTTCTGGATATTTACAACTGAAGAACTCTGCGAGAAATCTTTAGATTAGTTAATTATTTATTGATTTCAGAGCCTTAAAAAAGAAAAAGATAGTTTTAATGATTGTTGATCTTGATTGATCTTTAAAACGTTGTAAAAAAAAAGTCACATCTTGAAATATATAATAGTGGAATTGCTGTAAATTCGTATTTTATCGACTAAAAGATGTAATTGTTGAACCAGATCACTGTTTGTCGTTATTTTAAAAGGAACATTTAAGGGGCGTCTTGTATGAAAAATGGATCAATTTATTTTACTATCTTACGGAAACATAAAAAAAATAATATTTATGACAATTCGTTTGGGGGAAATTATAGTTTTTTATAAGTATATACGAAATAGTCAAAACAAGTTAGAATTAATGAAAAAAAAAAACCAATCATTTTTCAAACTTCACTAATCTCAGAATTTTAAATGCTTGAGTGTATCAGAATGCCGTAATACAATTATCTTTGCATTTTCGAGTGTTTGACCAAGATAAATATGTTTGTATACTAACTAATTTCAATTAGTAAACTTGTTTCCTGCATTCATTTTTTTTTTTTTTTTTTTTTTTTCCAACCTGGCCTAAGCTATTATAGTGTTTTCTTTCCCCTTAAAAGTGGCATGTTAGATCCATTATTTTGTTGACCCTTATTTCTAAGCAGTCAACTTCTATTAACCTATTTCACTGTTTTGATGAAACTTCAGAAATATTTAATGTCAGCACAGAATTCGTGAATTTCGGACTTATTCTTAAACACTGTTTCCTACCAAAATATAACCTATAACAGCATCATTTTCTCCTATAACTCCTTCTAAATTACATATTTCTACATTTTAACTATAATTATTTCTACATACCTACAATATATTGTATTTTGAAATTTTGAAGAATTCATGATAGTGCCTCATTTTCAATAATTGTATACTAAATTCAGATTGAAAATCCTAATTTCAATTGTGAAGGAAAATGGAAAATAAAATGGTTCCCAGCATAACTTTTATATATATATATATATATATATATATATATATATATATATATATATATTTATTTATTTGTTTATTATTTTCAATAATGAACCATTGTGATCGCACGAAAGTTTGAAGTTTTACGTTTCAGGATTCGTAGAATTCGAAAAACGAATAACAATTTTTTTGTCCCTCCACCGTCCGCGCATTTTCTCCGAAACAACTGGACCGATTTTTTTCAAATTCGGATTTAAAATTAGAGGTCACCCGAGGATGATCTTCCTACATCGACATTTCTATCCGCCTTTTCCTTTTAAGATG